GGCTCCTCTTCAATATTTTCTTTTGGAATACGGTATTCGTTATGGCCACTGCTTAAATTTCCTTCAAAATTATTAACAATTTCTTCGAGCTGTTCTTCGGTTTCAATATTTGCGATTTGTTCGCCAGGCAAATATGACGGTGCTCTGCCTCTTTTTGGTTTAACGCCAAACGTGGCTTCGTAAGGACTTTGGCATATTTCTTCGTGATATGTAGTGTTCTTGGCAAATTGTACAAAGGGCAATCCATCTGACCATTTATTTGTGTCGTTATCGTTCATCCATGCAGTTAACATATTCTGTACATCCCGATTGGCCCTTTCAACCGACTATGACGAGGCTTTCCACCAACTATTTTGACATCTCTCCACATAGCGCATAGTTCGGATATGACTCGATTACAGAATTCCCTACCATTATCTGAATGCAATATAGCTGGGGTACCAAATGTTAAAAATATTTGAAGAAGGTGATACGCTACTTCTTCAGCTGTCTTAGTTTTCGAAGATAGTAACTGGACAAATTTCGTTAAATGATCTCGATATACCATTATGAACTTATATTCGCCATCCTCGTGTAACTACGGGTCTATCAGATCGACTCGACATCTCGAGTTTAACTCCGAACTGACCATTGGTTTCGCAACAATACCTTTTTTAGGTGCACTGTGTTTCATTTGACATTGTTTACATAAATTTAAATACAACATTACAACTTCATACGTAATATTTTTGTATTTAAGTTGCAATTCTTTAAGCATACGTATTCTTCCTCCATGGCCTGTTCCGCTGTGAGTTTCAGATTGTATACTGAACAATTTATCATTGGCAACGTAATACTGTATATTCGTTTCTCCTGGTTTGAATGGAACAATTAATTTCTCTTCGTCATTAATTTTTAAAACGTCAAAACGTTTTAATCGTTTGAATCGAAAGGTGTGTTGCACTTAGTTTTAGCAGAAATCACTTCAGAAAGTATTTTAGAGTACTTTTCTTGAGAAAAATAAAAACAATTGTCTTCTCGTTTACTCGCAATTAATGCACGTAGCGTTTCAAAAAAAATGTTCTTGGTTCACTGCAGTATCCATTCAATATAAATTAAGGTATTTGATAGAAAAATAAAATTCAAGAAAACATTGCACGCACTAGCAAACCTTGCGTAAGACTGACAAACAGCAGTGTTCCAGAGTATAACAAATAGATACCACGTGATTTCAATTGCCACAGAACAAAGGATTTGGCGACAGACTGTCGCCTCTCTGTCGACGTCGGCTTCTTGGGTGTCGTTTCGACCTCCACCGAAGCTTATCTGTGCTTGTCGACATACACCGGCGATTGTTCGAATGTACAATAATATAACCAAATATTCGGTCTTTCGCCGACGTATTTTGTGTGTTCACATTCACCGGAGAATATCGACATTCTCTAATTTCTGTCTGCAAACGCTTCTGTACTATATTAATGATTTTTGAAATAGTACGATATTTTCTCTGTAAAGGACAAAATATCTACATTTAGTCTTTAGATATAAAATACTTAGTGACAACCCTACTAGAGTGTAACAGTGCCACGTATGTCTGTGTATAATGAACTACCAGCGTTCGTAATATGTTTGTGACACTAGTACAGTTGCCAGATGCGTGAAAACAGAGTAACACATGGTTAAAGCGGCGTAGGCTAAGGCAAAACTCAAGTTATAACTAGGGTAGTCAGTAATGTTGATCGTATCAGTATTTCGAATTTTTATTGGAATATTCTATTTCTTTCCTAGACAGTTTAATTGATCGTCTTTGGTATTAATCGACCCCCTTTCGACCCTCGTGTATTAATCGACCCTTGGGTTCGATATCGACCACTTTGGGGACCCCTAGTTTAGACCTTTTTTTTAACTCTTTCCCCCCTGTGGGCACTAAGAGGGCCTCATTTTGCAGTCTCATTATGGGTTCGGCCAGGCCCACAATGGGGCTGCCGGGTGGTGAGGGACGGGACCCGACATATCCGAACGGACCACCCCTCCGAAAAATTCCTGAGGATTTTTCGGGGGGTGGTCCGTTCGGATTCCGAGTCCGGGTCCCCCAGAGCGGTAGGCTGCCGCCTTTGCCGCTCGGCCATTCGGCCGCGTAGTTTAGACCTATCGCGCTAGCACAAGAAATAACAACCTTTTTGTCGTATAGATAATCTTTTCGGACGAAACAAAATTTAATTTGGATGGGCCAGATGGTTTAGCGTCCTATCGACGTGATTTACGAAAAAAGCTCAAAGAAACTTCGGTGGCGGGAGTGTTACGGTTTGGGATGCTTTTCTGCATTGAGAAAATTGGATTTGGCATTCGTTACCTGTCGCGTGAACAGTGCCGACTACCAACAACTTCTGGAGAACAAATCGCTGCCGTACAAACATAGATTCAGAAAAATTCCTCTTATTTTTAACGGGACAACGCATCTATCCACGTATCACGGGATACGAAACAGTGGTTTGAAAATAAACGAATTTACCAGTTCGTTCTCCCGATTGCAACTCTATAGAAAACTTTTGTAGATCTTGGTCGACCGAATTTATGACCAAAATCATCAATATGCCGACATTGAACACTTAAAACAAGCAATTGTCCCTGCTTGGAACTCTTTCGAGGTAAAAACCTTGTTGATAGCGTGCCAAATTGCATTTTCAATGTTATCGGTAAAGGAAGTGCGCAAATAAATTACTAAATTAAACTATTCTGTAGTATGTAATTCTTTTTAAGTTCATTTCGACAAATTATGTTTTTAAAAATCCTGAACAATATAAGAAAGGTAGATTTATGTGTAATTCCTAACATTCGTATAGTAAATTTACAGCGATTCTATACTTTGTGGAGCATCTTATCTGGTGTAAAATCGATGTCTTAATGTAACGTCGGAAACACGTATATAAAGTTCAGTTTTTCCAATTATAAATCAATAAGAACAATTGATTAAAGACAAAAAAGTTATTTTACATTTCTAAGAATAAATGTCTTTTGTTTATTATAAAAATATATTCTAATTTTTCTGTGGATTAAATGACACGATTTGATTTTCTTATGAAATTTGATAATTTAATTTAATTTTTTTCGTCTCGTGTACTGCAAATATCATTTATAGATTCGTGTAATTTTGACTGTAATTTTTAAATTTCAATTAATTTTAAAAGACAATTGATGTAACCCAATAAAGAAATACTTTATAAATTGAGTAAGCGTTATTCTTAGCAACTAATTACGTATATTACTAAGTATGGATAGCGTGAAAAATGCCTCATATGTACAGTACATTAAGGCTATTTTCTCATCGAAGTTTTTGCTAAAGTTTCAAATTTATTATTGTTGTTGCGATTTTCCATATTTATAACGATGATAATTGTCAAATTTTAGGGAAAAAGTGATATTTTTTGGAACCGTGTGTTTTGATGGATAAGGCACCAAAGCACACGGACGGAGAGAATGCCTTCCTTCCGGGAGGCATCCTCTTTGCGGATTGTCCATAAATGCCTCCAATTTATACGGGAAATTGTCCACATTTATCCGTAACAAAGTGGAAAATAATGGGGGATTGGAGCTTGACTCGTCCGGGACAAATCACCCCGATAAATGTTCAAAATATCCGAAAAAAAAAATTATTCAATAAGTTTATATAAATCTATTAGAATTCACTTTGAGTTTGCGTTCTAATTAAGTGATTTTTAAGCGGGCACTCGGAAGTAGTCGTAACTTAAAACAATAAATTATGTGGATGCGCGATTTAAATGCTGGTATCATTAATTATTTATATCTAGAATATTTTAAAAACTATCATTCATAATTCACGTATTGTTTAAATGAAGATAAATATATAAAATAAATGCCAGGCCTTCTCGACGAAATGAGATATTAATTTTAGATAAGTTATCTTTATCATTTTTTGAACTTTCGTATAACATAATTAATCTTATAATGTTGAAAAAATTATAAGTAGAGGAGAATCTCTCCACCAACATTTATTTTTGGCATTAAATTTAACTTTAAAATTTAAATTTCTAAGAACCGTAATCGATTTTATCTGTTAAAAAATTCATTATACTTCTTTTATACAAAATACGACTTTAATAGTTTAATAGAAGAGATAAAGTAATCGAATTTACTTTTGATTTTCGTATAATTTTAATCTTTTAAACTTTTAGACTAAAGCGCACTCTTCTACTAAATTCGTATTACGTTCACTTTAAAATATTGCTGGAGCCGCTCCCTCTATACGTATGCCTCAGAACTTTCTTCACATAATAGATGCTTAGAATTCCTCATATAAAATTCCGTAAATGTACTGTACGCGAGTCGTGGCTAAATTGGAGTTCTATCGAGTCATATAGAAGCGCGGGTGTACAACGCACACGACATAAAATGCCTATAAAATCTCCTTTAAGACGTACATACTCTATAGTTCATATAATATAATATGCGCAGGAACTAGGAGACTATCCTACGCGTATAATATAAGCACGCGATGCATAAATGTATACGATTCTATACATAAATACACTCGTAAGCGACTTGTATAAACTGAAAATTATCGGTAAAATGCGACTAAATTTCTACGCTAAAAAGCCTACCGTCGTTTTAAATTATATTATTTAAACTATATATTTAAACATTTAAAGCGTACAATCAATTTTAACGCGATTAAAAATTGATTTCGATTCATTAATGTTCCAACTTATTTATAGAAGACGATTTAAATCGTTCCTAGAAGAATATGAGTACATATTATATTGCAATTATCAGACATCCCTCATGTTTCCCTTCCATTCGATATCAGAACAGTTACAGGTTGCTAGGACAACTGATTAAATTAGAGAATAAAACACAACAGCTTCTAATTGCTTAAAGGAAAGATATGGAAGTAACAGCTGAGTCAGCAACGTCATACTCATTAACTGTTGTCATAGGTTAATTATGAACACTATTAGGAACATCGAAGAGGTTAATCGATGTCAACAATGATAAGTAAGTAGCCGATTTTCATCCGAAAAAAGGATGTGTTACTTTAATACTTCTCTATCCGGATGTTCGCTCCTCTCTTTTTTTGCCTTAAAGATTAGGAAACTTTCTTCGAAGAAAAGTCGCAAAAAATACTTTGCCAGCAACGTTAATTTAAGTATTTATAGTTTAAAAAGTAATAAATAATCCCGATCTCGTGTAATTTATAAATTTTATCCAGGTTAATCTTGCTTAATTTAATTAATTTTACTTCTTTATCTAGTTAATTGTATTTAACGTCTCGAAATAATTTTATATATTTATAACTTTAATTACGTTCGATTTTGTTAATATTTTTCATTATTTTAGTTAATATTTTTGAATTTAATTCAATTTAAAGTTTTTAAATTTTATTTAATACGACTACAATAAGTGTCGTTTCCTTTAATTATCATTAACGGTTTTAAAATTCAATTAAAAATCAATTTCGTTCAATTTACTTTAATCAATTTCATAAAATTTTATCATTTTATTGAAATTTACAAATTTATAACAATAAATTAAAAATTATTCGGTTTCTGGTTGTCGTCAATTACTCAATTAAACTTAATTCCGTTTAATAAATTAATTACAATTAAGCTAACACGAAAGAAAATAAATATATTTAATTGTAGAAAAAGCGATTATTACTTTTTAAATTAATTAATTTAAAATCTCACCTGCTATGTAGTTAATAATAGAATTTATTTAATAATACTTAAATCATTACTTAACAAAATAATTGACGTAAGACATCGTAAATTTTATTATTTAAGATTTTAAAGTTAAGTTATAATTCACTGGACAGAAAAATAAATGCAACAATCGTGACGAAATTTATATATTTTAATGCAATTTTCTTAAGTTAGTTATGAAGCAGAGAAACATAGAATATGATTACTCTAGAAATTATTTAATTATAATTAAACACTTTTGCATNAATAATATCCGAAGACTATTACTTACCAATTTACGAACGCATACTATGCGTTTGTAAATTAAATACTGTATGTATAAAGTGGGTAGAAAATAACTAGGCATAGAGAAATCGTTGTAGTTTCTATATTTCTAATGCAAAACTGATCAAATTTATCTGACACGTACGTACAGTACCTCACTAAATGAAAAAACGGATGCATACTTTAAAATTCAACGTAAGTACCGGCGCTATCCACCAACTTCCTCAAATTACCGGGATTAAAAGTCTCAGACTTCTAAAGAAAGTCGCTGGGACGTTAGTGTTAACGTCCCGATTCGTGCTTCAAATTTTTCCAGTGTTCGATGGTCTTGTTTCTTTGCTCGATTCTACTAGACTTCATTTTATGAAAGGTTTTCAAGAAGTGTCGACCTGGCGCAATCTGACATTTTTCTCCGGGGTTAGACAAAGGAGGAGGCGTACCGAAATTTATAAATTAATGTATGACGATTTCTCAATGCATAGTTACTTTCCAACCACCTCTTATATAAATATACAAATACTAAATAGGCCTTTACATATAAGGATATACAACAGACTTTTTACGACTGGTATAATTTGCCAGCAAACAATTCCACAGTAAAAACAAGTATCTACATTTAAACAAATACATATTCATCCTCAGTTTAGAATACGTAATTTTGACTGTAGGGCAAATAATATCCTAAAACCAAACAATTCGTTCGATTCTCAGATGTTATTTGTATTGTCAGCGTCACAATCTATTGAAATAAAACATAAAGTATCTGCCTTCTTATGTGACTATTTCGATAAATTAAACCCTGCCAGGTAGTTCAAATGCACGTAAATAAAAGTATTGTATTCTTCTTTAACAACCTAAATTAAATATTTACTGTATCATCGAGTGTGGTGTGTTTAAGAATTCTAGTTACACAAATATATATGAGTTCCTCTTTCTTTAAAAGGAGCAAATGGCTCCACCCACTCATAAACGTAAACGATAATTACGAAAATTGTGTTGTTTATCTTGTAGAAAGACACATTTCAACAGTTTAGCTATCTTCTTTATGTTCTATTACGTTCACATTCACACTAAGAAAAGAACACGTACAATATAAGAAAGGTACAATATAAAGAAGCATAAACTATAAGATAGTGTGACATACACACTCACACACACACAAAGAAAATGCCATCTATCTAACTTCTTTCGGGAGAAAATTTTTGAATTGAAATAACGTGACTTCCTGTTTTCATCGAAAGTTCGTATATTGTTAATCGGGGTTCCTATATCTGGTCTCGTCTTTTGTCTATCTGACTTCCTTCTCGAGATTAAGGAAAACAGACGGACGGACAAATGACAGTGGGAATTTATAGGTCTATTATTTTTTCAAATTGTAGTACAATTATAAAAAGAACGAGCTTTTCCTGTTGACTTTAAAAACGCTGTCTATTTGGAAAGTTCCTTTACGAGGAAGACATCCGCAACGTCTTCCTTACTTTGTCCTCCATTCACAAGTTTGCATCTGATAAACTTAAGCGGACAACTCCGAAGCAGTCGAGTATATTCTGCTGAACATCTACAGCAACGCTAGTACTTAAGGTGTTGAATAGGAAATTCATGTACGTTTCGTAAGCAGTACGCACACGAAAGTAAATATAGCAGCGTGCCTTATGTCATTAATAGCACACGCTAACAGTAAAAAACTACGCCGCGATTACTTGTTATTGTTAGCTCTAGCTTTATTTTCCAAAATATAATAATTTAACTTATATGCGATTGAAAGATATTGTAAGGCTACCACCAACCACTCAATTTAACTGGAAATCCATTGTTCAACAGAAGTTGCAGCAGTTATTGAATTCAGAATTAACCGTAACTAAATTTGAATAGATAAAAATATAAAAAAATTAAATTTATCAATGTTTTAGTTGTAAGGATTTCTAAAGCAGAGTACGTCTTACTCTTATCGATTTATTTTCACAACATGACGTAGCCATATTGTGAAATAAAATTGATAACAGCAAGACACGCGCTATTAGATAAACATTATTCGAAAGATTTAATTTACCATCTTAAAACTTATAGTTTCAATTCATATCGCAAAATCAATTTATTACCATTTTTATACGGAAACTTTGAGCTTCTGTATGTCTAGACTTTTGAAGTCGAGATACAGAGGAAATTTTGAAGGATAATTATAAAAGCATAAACAAGTATAACGCTAACACAAAACCCGAACACATATAAACAACGAATAGGAACAGAAAAGCAAAAATATCAACACCTATTCATTTACAGTGTCAACCGGGTAGAATACTATACGATTTTGCCACCCAATGACGTCCGTTGGCTGATTTTGACGTCACTAAAGTATTGCCCGACATGGAAGTTGACCGTCGCTAGTTTTCCGAAAGTTCCGGAAACACTACTTGTTGCCGCCAACAGTCACGTACAATATAAGAAAGGTACAATATAAAGAAGCATAAACTATAAGATAGTGTAGATCGCACACTCACACACACACAAAGAAAATGCCATCTATCTAACTTCTTTCGGGAGAAAATTTTTGAATTGAAATAACGCGACTTCCTGTTTTCATCGAAAGTTCGTATATTGTTAATCGGGGTTCCTATATCTGGTCTCGTCTTTTGTCTATCTGACTTCCTTCTCGAGATTAAGGAAAACAGACGGNGTTTTATAATAATGTATATTTGCGTTTAATAATCTATAAAATATAAAATTAAATTGTCCAATAAACAATGATAAATAATAACGCATGATAAGAAGAACCATCAGATCTGAGCTGTTGATTCTGCTGAATGCAGAATCAACAGCTCAGATGCGATTGTTCTTGTTCAGGTAGAGTGGCTGTAGATTTCAATAGTGTTTTCATCCTTATTTATGTGATTGAGATGAGCAGAGAGAGAGTCAAGAGAATAGAAAATGAAAAACTAGGAGTTGTAGAGAGCTCGGATGGAGAGGGGAGCTAGTAGAAGTGTTCTGGATTGGTTAAGTGTTTTTCCGAACGCCTACATAGAAGCGTTACTTCAAAAAATATAAAAAATAAATCAATGTTTATAAATTTATGTATTATGTGTATATAAAATATAAAAGTAAAATATAGTTTAATTACTTTTTAATTTTTTACAGAAAAGTTGATCGTGAAAAATAAAACATGTATGTATTTTCTGCTAATTGTTTTCACTACAGTCTTTTTATGTTTCTATTACCGAACGAATGCAATATTTTATAAACGTTCAATTAGAACTTATAAAAATTATGTCGAAGCTCCAGAACCGGGTTTCTTGGTTTATTCTGAAGAATGCCAAATACCCGATTTCGATCCCTACGATGAAACAGTCAAACGTTTCGTACAAGTGCATGAAACCTTAAATTGTTCAAAAAAATATCCTTCATTCACATTTACTCGAGGAAATCAATTGTTTCTGAACACATCTCACGAAATTTTTCGAGAAAATAACATTTATTGCTGCTACAGACCATTTTATCGACCGTACGAAGCAAAGCGAGATGACGAGATTAGGTAATTCACGACTGTAAAATTACGGGAAAAAAAATCCTGTAGATTTAACAGCAATAAATTGTTTCTTCTATTGTTTCAGGTATGAGAAAAGATGCATAAATTTCACCAGTGAAACAACAGTTAACGACGAGTTTGTGTTAGTAGAATGCTGGAAAAACAAAACAATTATTTATAAAATATTCCACAGCTTCATCCACGATAAACCATGGGTAGAAGCGAGGAACACGAGGATTAAGCAATTATTAAAGAAGAAAGACTTGTATAGCGTTATGATCATCGGAATAGATTCGGTATCGCGTTTGAATATGCACAGGCAGCTGCCAAAGACTTTGGAATACTTGAAGACCAATATGGATGCCATCGAAATGTATGGCTACAACAAAGTTGGAGATAATACTTTTCCTAATCTGATTCCTCTTCTAAGTGGTTATCACGAGAAAGAAATTGCGTTCTGTAGAGAAAGTGATATAGTTGTGATTGACAAGTGCCCGTTGTTATGGAAGAAGTTCCAGGAATTTGGCTATAGGTAAGGTGTAAGCAACATCTCGGTGTATTTATTGAAATAAATTTCATATAAACGCTAATGAGATATACTTATAAGATAGTAATATCTAATAGGACGATTTAAACTCCGAGCAATACAATTTTTTAAGGATATAACTATTATTAAGCACACGCGAATGATATATGTATGTCAGGGGTGTCCAACCTTTTTGTTTCTTTGGGCCACATTTGAAGAAGTCATGGAGTTTTGGGCCATAAGTATAATATAGCCTATATACTTGTGGCCCAAGTATATTTTGGCCCAATCCTTAAATATACTTGTATATTTAAGGATTATATACTTGTATACTTGTATATACTTGTATATTTAAGGATTGGGCCAAAGAATTTATTAAGGATTGGCCTAATATTTAAGAACTAACATGTCTAGATTATAGTAATAAGCATTAAAACTTTATTACGAATAAGGATATTTTAAAAAATTACTTCTACAGACACTTTCAATTTTTATTTAGAAATAAATAAATTCATTTATTATAAAGGAAATAAACAAAAATTTATTTGAAAAACACAAATATTTGTTTTATTTGGGTCTCTAATTAATAAAAAGTGACGAAACATCATTTTAAAGTGCATTTTTATTCAACTAATATATTTATAAATAATGTGTAACCCAAAAAGTAGCCAATGCGTCAAATGATATTTTTTACGCCAAACTAATAAAAAGGTAGCCAAATTTGGCGCAAAGTAGCCAAATCTTGCAACGCTGGAAGGAGTACTAAATAAAGCTGGAGTTGGGACTCAAAGGATTATAGACCCAAAGCAAGAAAAGTAGAGAAAGGAACCAAGATAAAAAAGTGAGGAAAGTTGAAAAATTAAGGGTCAATATTTGCATAACAAAACGTATATTTAACCTTTCTCATTTAATAAGAAAGAGCTTTATTCCTATATTTAACCTTTCTCATTATCATTTTATCTTTTGGCCTTTCTCTCCTTTCCCCGAATTTGAGTCTATACTCCTTTGAGTCACAACTTCAGTTTTATTTAATATACCTTCCTCATTCACACATTTCCAAGTATTTGAAAATGTTTCCTATCCACTCAAAATTAAAATATGTATAAAGATTTACTGCTTTGTGAAACGTCTTTTTTGAATTTGTGCCGTTCAAATAAATAAATAAATAAAATAAAAAAATCTGTCGGTTTTGTTTACACGTTTATTGGGCCGCATTGGAACTTGCCTTGGGCCGCGGGTTGGACACTCCTGCTGTATGTGTTTTCAATTGCAATAAAAGTGCCGAAGAACTTGAAATACGAGACGCTGATAGGGTACGGTCAAATTTCAATTTAACGCCATTTCTTTTCGAGGGTAACACTTGTTAGAGATGTGGAACATCGAGGTTCCACATCTCCAACAAGTGTATTTAGTACGCAATTCTTCAGTAGAACGGAAGCAAACACGACGTCTAGACCGAATGACTAAAACAATTAAGGAAATCTGGCTCGAGTATAGATCAATCCTCAAGAGTGGATCGATTCCGGTCGCCATTACTCCACACTTCACACGTTATCCACTGGCGAAGCGACTTGATCGCGACTGTAATGACGAGGAACTGAGTCCGGCATATTGCGTCGATCTCGGAGGTATTTAAAATTTCTTGGAATTTTTATTTGAAAAAAGGGCGTAGCCCTTTTGGAGAACGTTACTAACAAAACAAATTAAGAGAGGGAAATGGATACATCAAATACCCAAGCTACCCAAACTAGCCGCACTTTGTTACACGTATCTGGTGTAATTAAAACACATAAAACTAAATCTGTGGTTGATGTACTGTACAGTACCTTTCAGTCACGTGACTAACAAGCACGCTCGCCGTCTAAAGGCCGCAGCAGACAACTTTTACGGTCACGATACGATAAATTTATAAATTTCAGTAAAATCAATGAAATAATTTATATTTTTACATATATGGAAATTCATAAAATAGCTTTCGGTTTCATAATTCCAACGTAGCGAAGATCTGACCGAAACGTGACAACGATCGCAGCACAATCGCGTGCCTTTTTTGTTTCCTAGGCGCACGCTCATTTCTCGAAAACTTTGAAACGCGCGCGGCATCGCCGATCGTCGCCCGAAAAATCCAACGGATCGCCTACTTTCCATCGAAGGATATGACGTAGAGTGACGTTGAATCGATAACCGAGCAAACTGCTTGATCGATTGCTTACATATTGCTAGTTTACGGCGGTCTTAGGGAAAAAATGTCACCGTATGCAAATCGCCAAAATGCGTGACTAATCGCCTCGTAAAGTAACTTTCACTTTTTCAAATTATTATTTGGAACATCTTTGAAAAATTGCGTTTTTTCTTTTTGTTTCCTTTATTCGAAGTTTTTATTCGAAAAATATATAGATTAAATTGAACTTTTCGGTCTGTTCCTATCTGTAAATTGAAATCTGGAAAAATTTATGGTACCGGGAACTTTCATAATCGATTTAAAAACGTGTTTTTCGTTTTTTAAAATAATTTTCTCAATTTTGCGAGGGTGTTCAGTAGGCACACGATGCGGAAGATTGCGTAAAAGCTACGAGGATGACTTATTGTAAGTATCAAGGAGTTTCCTAAAGTCATCGATAGCCGAGTGGTTAAGATTTCGTATTTCATCGCCGAGTATGTGTTGGAAAATTTATTCATCGAGCTCCTTACCTTCGAGACGTGTTGAACCCGATGAACAATTGATGAGGTAGGTCACCACTCGTCTCTAGTACATCGCAGCATTTACGAATAAGTATCAATGACTGCTTCGAACAATAACCACAAATTCCATAAGAAATTAAATAAACTTTTTTGAAAAAATTTAGCGCTGGGCATAAATTCATAGGAACGAAATTGTCAGTTTGTCTATAGTAACAATCTGAAAGCTGCATAAGTTGTGTAGCAATCGCACAAAGCAGTGGGGTGCGATTTGAATCATCGCAAAAGCCAGTAGACTTCCTACGCCAGTGGATAACACGCTAATAAAGAGCTGAATAATTTTATCGAATAACACACATTATTCGCAATTCGAAATACAAATCGTCAATTCCAGGCGCTTGTGATTCTTAACATATTTTAATTGAAAAGTTTTATTAAAAATTAATAACGTCTACAAGTGTTTTAACTGAAGTTTAATTTCAGAACCTTCTATGCGGAAGATACTCCTCACATTTCCACCTTTAACTACGTAAAACCTGGATTTAGCCAGCAACCCACCGATTACTATTTCCGTCCGTTTATTTTAGAAGCCGAAGATAATCTAGGATGGAACTTTCGAGGAAATTGTTACCAATGTGTTGGTCCTATTTCGGAAACGGAAGCGGTCTTATCGTGGTTAGAATCTTTTGCTAAAAATTTTAATACTCGTTCGTATTTCGCCTTCGCGTGGATCAACAGCCTGACTCACGACTTCCTCAATTATGGCTCTTACGGCGACAGTTATTACGCAGATTTCTTTCGAAAATTACACGAATCGGGAGATTTGAAGAACACTGTGGTCATTTTCATGAGTGATCACGGCATGCGGTGGGGTCCTATCAGAAGCACTTACATCGGCAGATTAGAAGAAAGGTTACCCGCTGTCCTGATATCTTTTCCTCCTACTTTTCGAGAAGAGCATCCCGATTTAATGCAAAATGTTCAAATTAATGCATATAGATTAACAACTCCTTTCGACCTGTTTGCTACCCTAAACAATCTATTGGATATTCAAGAAAATACCCTTCAAATGGATTATTGGTCCGTACCTCACGAAATTGCGTCAAACTACATTCGTAGAGCCCGATCTATTTTTCAAGTCATCCCGAAGAACCGCAGCTGCAGCGATGCTTCTATCGATGAACATTGGTGTACGTGTCAACAATCAAAAAGCGTATCAGTTACAAATGAAGAAGTGGTCCACGTAGCCGATTATCTACTAGAAATACTAAATAGCAAATTGAGGAATTACGTGAAGTGTGCTACATTAGCGAGGAAGAACATCCTCGACGCTCGAATGCGGGCTCCTTCAGAACACTTAGCAGCTACCGAGAAATACAACATATTTGATTATTCGGTGACATTGAGAACTATACCAGGGAATGGGTTATTCGAAGCGACTGTTAGATTTGTTCCTAAAAATCATACTCACGCTCTTTTGGGTGATATCTCGCGATTAAATCTATACGGTAATCAATCTTCTTGTGTACAAAATGCTAATATAAGGAAATATTGTTATTGTAAATAATAAGTTATTTATTTATTGAGAATCTAATTCTTTACTTCTTATTTATTTATTAGTAAAATTTTCTATTGTATTGATAGATTGTGCGTAATTTCGGTATAGTAGGAGAAGGGGGCAGGATGAGGACGTTAAGGTTTGAAAAGTCGTAAGATGGCAACCATTTTGATGAGAACAATAATTTTTTTATTCTCGGCAACTACAACATTTAGTAATATATAATACAAAATTTAATTTTTGAAAAACGTTTTTAAAAACGAGAAAATTTTATATTTTAAAATTGTACGTAAATGCACCATCTCGCCCACCCGAGGGGTAAGACGGGAATATTATTTTCATATACAAGAAAGACAAATTAAAATGGTTAAACTGTCGTTTTTTTCAATATCGGTAAAAGAACAATGCGCCCATTTATCACAACGGCTACGTTTATTATTATTTTCCGAATAAATAAATATAATAGTTTGAACTTACTCGTATTTACTTTACCGGACGATACCGTCACTTCGCGCTCGCTCAGTTTCGCTATTTCGTAAGCGGACGATATTTTTTTTCGTGGAAAAAAATTTTTATTTCGATTGTTATCTCACATTTTATTTCTTGTTAAAACAGTATTTAAATTTAAAAACTGTTTTCATAAATAAAATAAAACGTAAAAGCATAAATAATAAAGTAATACAGTATATACTGTATGAATTTATTACAGTTAGATATGATTTAAAAGTGGAATATTTCATTTTCTATAAAAAGATCATTTTTAAAATTATTATTTTATATATTCGAAAAGGTGATATAGAATTATCAATGACAACGAATTTAAAACTAGTTCGCTGCATTATATTGCGGTGCCTCTAGCCGGCGGCAGAATTCGTGGCCGACCTTGGGCAAGATAGTGGTGATTAGATGGTGTATCCCGTCTTGCCCCCACCATCTTGCCCCAACGCGCACTTTTCGTACTGACTGCAAACACGGGTCAACTTTATTTCAAAACTAAATAATTTCAGTCTTAAAGGTTACTTCGAATACCATAATATCTTCGTCTAAAAGGTAATGTAAAAGTTCGCAATAAATGCTTGCTTTGTAGAAACTTTGTAGCGGGTGTAAAATTAGATGAAGTATTGCCGAAACGTGGAAAACTGTCTTACTTCCAAACAAACAGAGCGATTCGGACGTTCTCTAGTCCCGCGATCCCTTTTGAGGTTGACATTTAGTTCCCCAAATAAGAGCTAGATGAAAGCGCGTTAACCACGAATAAACAGACGTCCCCGTCTTACCCCGTGGCCCCATCTCGCACCATCTTCCCCTATAGTTTTGGTGCATGACATTAATTTGTTGGATAATTTATAAACAATCATAAAGGGAAAAATAAGATTTAAAAGTATTAAAAATACTTTAAATACTCATATTCTCTATTATACAGTCTTTATCAATCGTAAAGATGTGTTACACACTAAAATTGACATACCCAATATAATAAGCTTCGAGGCTCAATTCTATCTGTAGTTCATCGTTATTTTTTATTTTCTTTATTTTTAATGAAAGGGGCGGAAGACCAGGACTACTCAGGGGTATCGCCTGGGTGAAAAGAAAAAGGGAGAAGGGGTAATGGATAAGGGGGATAGAAGTGTGATAGGAAAGATGGTGAAGATGAGAGAAATCGTCAGCGCGAACAACGCAGTAATATAAATAGGTGGATACATGAGCGGTATGCAAAAAGAANGTAGAAACAACATACTGTACAGTAGATTCCCAATTATCTGGGTTAATCATCAATAATGGAGGCACGGATAATTTGCAAGTTTGTTTTATTGAAATCAAATCGATTTTTCGTTTTAGTTTTTAATTTCATATTAAATTTATTATAATAGTTTAAATATTTTATGAATAAAATATGTTTGAGAGAGATAATTAATTAATTAATTAATAATAATAATTGTGAAAAATTTATGTAAGTCTTCATCGCATCGTACAAGCTTCAATAAACCATCTTGGTGTGTGGCGGTCGGTGGCGCCACCGTCTGCGCGGGGTCCGATCCTACAAAAGCAGTTTTCTACGGGACGATCGTTTAGAGAAATTCGCGGCCCATCGAACGTTTGCCGAGAATGTAATCGAGTCCGAGACGATGGGACGATTGAAACTTGTTGTCGAGTGTTGTGTTTTCAGTTGTTTGTCAATAAAGTTTTGTCTGGAGCCACTCGTCCGACTCCTTACTTCCCCCTTCCTCTCTCCTTTCGCGCGCGAGTAAACGGAAAACGCGGTAACGTGTAGTAAACAGACGTCGTTTCCACTAAAATTAACGTTCTTATCGAAAGACGTTCCGTCGGGGTTTCCTCCGCCCTAGATCTTTTCCGGCTTCGTTTTCTACGTAACTCCGAGACGACGGAGAAAGGTCAGAGAAGGAACGGACGGAGTTAACGGAATTGAAGAGAAGACCGGCGTCTCGTCCATGCGCCATTTTGTTTTTGTCAGTAAAGATATATTATTTGTTACCATTACGTAGAGTAAACAATTGTTAATATTTCTTTCGTCGTCCGCTCGTTCCGCACCGAGTAAAAGTCGCCGACTACGCAACTGGGCAAAAACCTCCCACGATTTAGACGACGGTCGAAGTATTTTCTTGGGAACTTTTCTTTGCTAAAGACGAGCTTGGCGCTATGAAGCCTCCCGGGCACCGTTTTCCAGCGGCCGGCTTATCTTTCTTTACCAAAGAAAAACTCCCAAGAAAATACTTCGACCGTCGTCTAAATCGTGGCAACTTGTTACGTCGCGGATGTTTTTGCTCGGTTATCGTAATTAAAGTTCGTATTTCTGGAATTTTCACGGTACCAAATGCGTGGACAGTCAAATACCTCGGTGCTCAAATACGTTACACCGCTTTTTTAATTTTTCTGCCGTAATATATAACAGACGAAAAGAATGGCCGTCGGTGAAAAGTGACCCCCGAGAGTTTTACATTTTTGGACTCGGGACCTTGAAACGTCGAAAAATGCAAAATAAAATTCGGGTGTTTTTTCTGTGCGCGAGTGTGCAAGGCACGATTTTGTTCGCCCTGTTTGAAGCTTGATAACTCCTGTGCTTTTGGTCGAATATTTCTGAAATTTTTCAGGGAGGTTTGTTTATTAGGGAGGCAGATACTATTAAATTTTGATGGTTAAAGGGGGTGGAGAGATAAAAGGTGTCGCGTGTATCTCAGCAGGGTCGAATGTAACGACGATTTTACTTGTTATTAGCATTTACAATTTTTTATAAAACTCATCTTTACCCTAAAAATCAAGCCTTTTGTCTTTTATAATAATTAAAAATATAAAAAGTTTTTATGACAAAATCTCCTAGCGGATGATTCACACCATTCATTTATTTATTATTACAGTAGTATAATTAATGAAATAAACTTACTTTTAAAATAAAAATCCCTTAACGGTCAGAAAAGTTACGCAACTCGTTGCTGGATTTTTTGCATTTCTTAAAGTTTGAACACTGCATAGGCTGAAAAAAATAATAAGAATTTTACAAGGATTTTATTGTGTGTAATTTTTACGCCGTTAAAAAGGGCTCTGAAAATATTAAACATTCATTCGGAATAAATCGATTAAATTTTTATTAAAAGCATATTTTCTGACTTATTGACTCGTAACACTAACCCCCGTATTCACCAACAGTTGTTGTGCTCAACTGGCGTATTACTTCAAAATCACGCCAACAACGATAATGAATTAATATGGAAACGCACGATATCAACTCGGACGGACCACTCGCCCGAATCGTGTTCGACGACAATCGCAATGGGCGTATTCAAAATCTCAGCATCAATCCAGCGAGATGTTGAGAACGGAAGTGACGCAACTGCTGGCGTTTTCTAGAGAACACAAACGCGGACTGAGAAAAAATGGCGAATGATGTGGACTTCCACGTTACGTTAAATGATTTTTGAACTTCTTTAATTAAAACAGATTAATGAAAAATAAAAATTTCGAAAAGAGAAATATATATTAAATTTCCGTAGGAGTTTTAAATAAATAAATCAATCTTAAGATTACACTTTAACAACTAAAAAAATTATGTGATGTCTTAGGTAAATGTTCTATTAATGTACTAACCGAATATTAATTTATTCGGGGTTTATTCATCGACAAATAAATTCAATATTATCAATGCAAAATAGAGCTCTTAAGAGCCTTATGGTGGCTGCCATCTTGTTTGCTAGATTATCCAGCTGCAAAAAAAGACGCTTACAGTTTGCTGGAAGCAGTCTGAAATTTTGAATACGCTTATTGCCAGGCTGGTATTACCCAAGGTCCTAGAATATATTCTAGAACCTTGTCGATAGATATAGAGCTGAAACTGGGTTGAGCGCCACCTGTACGCAGGCAAAGAACTTCTTCGGGAAAACGCGTGCGTCTTTGGGTTGGATACGTGCTGAAACACGATGCTTGTTTTCTTCCTGTGATAATGAACCACAGCTTTCTGCCACACAAAAGTTCAAAAAATAACTGTTGTGTGGTCGGTCGTAGCGTTACCTATAGACCTGTTACTGCGCCGCCAGGTACAAAGTTTTATTCGTTCTCGAATGGACAATACCCTGGGAGGAAAGAGAAATGGCTGGCTGCAATTCGACGGATTGAGTAAGTATTCTGCTTGGGTATTTTCATTGAAGGTATTTTTTAAAGTTATGTGTGTATATATAACTGTGACATTTAAAGGCCTTGTATTTGTAATTATCTCTGCAAATGGGCAGAGTGCTTTTTTTTAGCGGTAAATAGGTGTAGTCCACTTTATGTTACTACCCATTGTTTACGTAGTGCATCGAGTAATAACTCATTAAAAATAGCAAAACATATCGTATTTCTGAAAATTAAAATCCTGATGATGATAAATTTAAAAAATGCTTAATGGTGTCATTACTGGCCATGGGACACTATTAAAGATCATTTCAAGTAATTCGTTATTCGAAAGGTGACCAGGTGACCAAAGTAATATGTAAAATTAAAAACACTTTTCAGGAAAGATGACAAACCTTGGCAACCCACAAAGCACAGCATTTTGCAAAGTCTGCAGTCAGCATTTTGTAGATGGACGGAAAATTGATCACCCTGGCCGTTCCCACACTTTTTCCAACACGCTAGAAGAAACGAGGTTGCGGAAATGTTGATAGGTTTTTAAGGCAGGCAAGAAGGGAAGAAGAAAAGATAGAGAATGTGGGTAACAGCATAGATGTGGACACCGAAACCACACCTATGATCACCAAACACGCCACTGGAACACAAACAGATGTAAGGGAACCACTGTATAGTACAGGTAATATTGCAATCTTCTTTTGTGAAAAGTCGTGTAATGATAC